GTCATAAATTATTTATCAAAACTATTAAAAAGATTAATATAAAATAATAGTTGGAATTTCTAAAACGACTAAGAGGGTCGTTACATTAAACTTTAAAGTTTATATAAAATTTAAAGTTTGAAATTGAATTTAAAGTTTAAACTTTAAAGTTTATATTGAAAAAATTTAAACTTTAAATTTAAAACCTTAAAATTCAATTTTATATTAATGTTTAAACTTTAAACTAATATTAAAATAATTAACAATTAAATTTGTAAAATGACATGAATTAAATAAAAGAGACTACTTCAAAAGAAAATCAAGGTGAATAGCCGTATATTTATTCAAATAAATAAATTGTACAATACAAATATTAGAAAGAGATCAAGAGTACATAATCTAGGTATTCAATACTAATTATTGTACTAACAATTGCATTTTTTTAAAATTGTTTTTGTAAATTTAGTATCATTTGAAAAGAAAGATTTTTTGGAACTTGCATTTGTCGTTCTTCTTCGATTGCTTTCATGCCATCATCACTATTCTCACCAAATATTTTAATAATTTGATCTTCTATTTGGCTACTTAATAGTGGTAGTCTGGTGTTTCTTCTTTCTGCATTGACCCATTCTCGAAACAACACCGATATTTTCAAACTGTCCTTTGCTAATGAATATCGATGATCTCCAATCATAAATCTCGCCGCAGTAAAGGTTGCTCCGAAATGACCGATGATGCTTAAATCGCTAGCACATCTCGAACAATTCTAGGAAGGTCAGAAATTGGTTTCACGATTCTTCCACCATACTAAGAGCCTATTTGGCAGCTTAAAAGCTGGTCAAACTGACTTAAAAGCTGGTTTTTGACTTATTTAACTGTTTGACAATACTCAAAATAACTTATTTGAAGTTTAAAAAACTTAATTTAAGCCAAAAGTTAAAAGCTGGGGTAGGGGTGCTCTTTTTTTTTAGCTTATAAGCTGTTTTAAGTTGACCACATTTTTATCTTTTTGCCCTTAATATTTTTATACAATCTCCAAATTATCCATATAACCCTAACATCTCTTTCTTCCATTTTCCCCTTTTCACGTTTGGCATAACTACTTCAGCACTTTTATCCAAACGCATAACTGCTTATTTTAAAAATAAGTTTCAGCACTTTCAAAAGTACTTTTTTAAAGCTGCTTTTATTAAGCCCATCCAAACGGGACCTAATATTGGAGGTTGAAGTTGTCCTTCTTCATGCCTAATCTTTTCCCGTGCCTGATTGAAATATAAATCAAAATCATTATTAGTAGAAGATTCAAGCTCAAGATATTCATCCATCCAATCATCCGGATCATCACTTTTAGGCTTAGAAGATGAAGGTTCAACTATTGAAATATTTGTTTCGATAACTTTATATGCATTATATAAATCTCTAACTTTTGTATAATGTTACTTTTACATTGTTCAACAGTAGGAGTTTCATCATCTTTAATTTCCAAATTTACATAAATCTTTTCAACCATTCTTTCAGCACCTCTTAATTTATAGGCCAAATAAATACGCATGTCCCTAAAGTTGTTCGCGCTTTTCCCCCAGGTACCTCAACTAACCAAGATTCCTATTAAATTCTTTAACCCCCTATAATTTGATCCTTTTAAATATACTTGGCTGATGTGGAGCCAAATTTCAATAAATTATTTTTGGTAATTAGGCGCGTGAGATGAACCTTCCCCACGTGGAAATTTTGACCAATACACTCCAACCCAATTACACATCAGTGCCACATATTAAGTCATCAAACCTAAAAATCAATTTCCCCCCAAATCACTTCTAACCTGTTTCTAAACGAGAAAACCCTAAGAATCTCTCCCTTTCAATGACTTTTACAGCTGAAATTCTTAGATTTTACAGTGATTTTGAGTGTTTTGTTGAAGGAATCATCGAAGATTGCAGACGATTTTGGAGTTCATTCGCGATTTTTGAGTTGACATAGTACCTTCGCAGTTGAAGAAGAAGAAATCGATGAAGAAGATAAATTCGACATTGGAACTTGATGATTAAGAAGAAATCAATGAAAAAGTGATATATATATAATGAGGTAAAGAAGATAAATAATGATGAAGAGAAACAAAAGAGGAGAAATAATGGAAGAATGGGAGAAATTAGGGTTAAAAGGGGGAAGAAGATCGTTGGTGGGTAGTTCAAGATCCACATCAGCGCTTTTAAAGAGTCTGCACGCGCTTAAAGGACGTGATATCACGTTTGGCTCCACATCAGCCAAGAATATTTAAAAGGATCAAATTATAGGGGGTTAAAGAATTTAATAGAAATCTTGGTTAGTTGAGGTACCTGGGGGAAAAGCGCAAACAACTTTAGGGACTTGCGCATGTATTTGGCCTAATTTATAAAAGTAGATGTATAACCAAAGTCAAATTTGAGAGATGCCTATTGTAGCTTCCGAAATTCAAACTCCAACTCAATATCACAGTATAATAATAATTTATCAGAGATTTAAAATTGACATTTGAGAGATTGTATAAGATGTATAAGTACTGAATTTGTGATTTAAAATGAAAAAAGAGGGTATATTTATAGTGTAAATGGGTTAGAAAGGGGTGGGGTGGGGTGTGTTATTTGACCGTTTTGGACAGCTAGAAGGGCCCAACGATCGAAAATAATGGCTACCTTAAAAAAAATTAAAAACTGGATGAACCGGTGCTTACCGGATCGGAGCAGGTCAAAACCGATCCGTTTGTCAACCTTAAACGTGACAATGGGATGATAATACGATATGATGACAATGATGTAGTAGTTATTGATCAAGCAGGAAATCCAAAAGGAACTCGAATTTTTGGTGCAATCCCCCGTGAATTGAGAGAATTAAATTTTATAGTTTCATTAGCTTTCGAGGTATTATAAAATGAAATTGTGATCTGTTTTGAGTGGGATATTTGAAAGAAATAGATTAATAGTAGATTGTGTTTCACATATATCTTTAATTTATGAAAAACTAAGAATATATTACCCTTATCTTATAATGCTTTAAACATAGTTCTAAATTAGGTCTTTTAATACTTTTTAGTATATAAAAAGATAATGTAATCAAATAACCTTTTAATTAATACTATTAAAATCAGTTTTTTTATGAGTGTCAACCTTAAAAATCATATAAAAGATAAAGTAATATAGGTGTATAGCACTAATTAATTATAGTTTTGCCTATTCTAAAATTTAGTGAAAAATTTAAAGTATCGTCAATTTCTTCGGCCTTATAAGTTTCTTTTACTCCTATGTTTATAACTTTATAATAAAGTTGTTGATCTTTTATCGAGAAAGACATATTAATTAGGTATTTAAAAAGCTATTTTACTTTGCAAACGCTAAATCACCTTTTTATTGCATTGTTAATGATGTTTGGAACTTTTTGGCAACAAACATTCCTTACTAGTTGGGAAAATTATATTCCCAACTAGTAATTGTTTGCATGTTCACATCCTTTTGTCACTTTTGGCAACTTGATCCAAATATTCTATCTTTTAGGGATAATGCACAACTACCCCATCAACCTATGCTCGAAATCTCAGAGACACACTTGTACTATACTAAGGTCGTAGTATCCTCCTAAATTTATTTCATTAATAATTTTATAACCCCTTTTTGACCTACGTGACACTATCTTGTGGGCCCAATATTGATTGACTTTTTTTTCAAGCTAGACCTTATCACACAATATGACCTTTTCAATGTTTCCCTTTAACTATTGTCTAAAGCATTCTTTATCATCTTATAATTATGAAAAAGACATCAAGAGTATTATACCAACCATATCAACTTATACCACCATTTTGCTATTGTTTCTACTCACATTTTTTAAATATATAGAATATTTAGTATTGGATCATGAAATACTAGTTTAGGAGATTTATGGAATTTTTTTTTCTTAGCAAAAGTGGATTTACAGTAATCACATATGATTAGTGTCAAGGATTATCAGGAATTCTTACAAAGTGATATATTTTCTTGATCCACATCATTTACTCTTTTTTTTTATAATCGTGGTGTCTGGATCAGCTTTCGTACACTTTGACTAATTAATTTAATGAAATATTTGTCATCTTCCACCAGTCACATATATTAAGTACTGTTATCAAAAGCAAAAAATACAACGCAACATAAATTTAAATTAATCGAACTAATTAAAAAAAACGGTCGCTACTCCTACGTTGTAGTAATTGCTTTAAACATACAAGAAAGTTGAAATGGAACCAATTAGTGTGTGATAGAAATAAGTGAATAGGTGATCGATGAAGACACTTCCAGATATTTTAATAAATTAAAGAGTGAAATGTTAAAAAAAAAAACTTAAATTACTATTTTTTTAAAAAAAATAATAATTATTATATTTGCACTCATTCATTATTTTAAGAAACACAATTCTCTTTTTTATTACATTCTCGCTCTTATATTCTCTCTTTTATTTTAAAAAAATTATCACATGATACTTCACATTGACAAAGAAATAAATTAAAAAGATTATTACTTCTCTCTCTATAATGTTACGTTCCTTTTCTTATGAATTTAGATTTGAAATGACAATTTTGTTCTTTCCCTTAGCATTTTTAGCTTAGTTTGTATTTAGAAAATGGTTGATGTGGTCCCATATGAGATCGAGTGAATTTTTTGTGATTTGACCCTTCTTGAGTTGAGAATTATTGATAGGATTGACTCTGGTCAATATTTTAAGTTCTTAGCATCCAATAGAAATTTCGTCATTTTTAATGCGTCCAAAATGTCGAATTTATGCTAGTTAGCTGGTTAGTAAAGCTTTCGAGACCTTGGTTTGAATTTTGAGTGTTTGGGTGAGAAGTTGAATATTAAGACTTTTGCAAACAAGGTTTCGCTTTTGGGACTCTCAAACCCTTCTTTGCCGACCAATTTCGGGATTTTCCCCATTTTTCTCAATTTTCTCTCGATTTGAACTCAGGAAAGGTGATTCATAAAAGTTTTTTCTTAGTGATTTTCGTGTGGTTGTGTTCCTCTACCAAGTCCTTATCATTTCCTTTAATTTTAAGAATCCAAAACACCTTCTAAATAAGAGAAAATACATCAAATTTCCCCTGAAATTGGCACGAGAATTCGCTTTAGTACTTAAACTACACGGATGTTTATATAACCCCCTTAACATGTTTGATGTGAATTATTTTCAACCTTTCGAGCTTCAGCCTCCTGTGCGTGTTGATACAGCTTTGTAGGGCGTGTAATTCACCTTTTAGCATTTTTTAAAAATAAAACTTGACCCTCCAACGGGTAATATCCGACCCATTACATATTTGAATGTAAATCTTCTCTTTTGTAGAATCCTAATTTTCTCTTCTCCTCACCAACCCAATCATCCAAAAATGGTGACCTAATTCATGCTTTTTTTTCTTTATTTTTCTCAAATCTTAGCTCTTCAAACCTCAAATCTTAGCTCTTCAAACCTAAAAGTTGAATCTTTGAAGGAATAATTGTTCTTCAAAATGTAAGCTTCAAACCTATTCTTCTTTATCTATTTATGTTGATTTTTATTTCGTCCCTTTTTTTTATTATTTGGTTTTTTTCTAGATTCTTGTTACTCTAATGGAAGAGAAATCTTCAGATTCGATCTTCTAGGTTTGAGAGAAGAGAAAGAATGAGAATCACGGGCTTAGGGGATTTAGGGATATTTGTTTATAAGTGGGTCGGGTTGTATTTTGGGAACGGGTAAGATAATTTTTAAATCCTTAGGCGACGTGAACCACTAAAAACACGCTTGTGTAACAATGCCCAACCTTCAACTGGGCTAGAGCTCGGAAGGTTAAAAATAATTCACATCAAACATCTTAAGGGGGGTAATAAACACCCTTGTAGTTTAAGTACTAAAGCGAGTTTTCATGCCAAGTTCAATGTGGGTTTTGGGGGTCTTTTCCCTAAGTTGGAAAATGAATATTTTTTTATTTGGATCTTGTTTCTTGATCGATTTTAATTGGGGTTTCAATCATGAATCCCTCTTTACTTGTAGGACTTGATTTTTAACTAAAAATTTGATTTTAGCCTTTTAATTTTTGAAGTGATATTTGGACTAATTTATCCCCGATTTCAAGTCTTATCAATATGAATAATATTGGAGTCTTTTTATTAACTTTTTCCATTCTTGATAGTTAAGGATCGTTCAGGTGATTATGTGGTTGATGATCTACTCTGATAAGGTTCTCCGAGTGACGTTTCAGTATTGAGGTAGGTTTGGCTATTCTTATTTTAAATTAAAATGAGTAATTAACCTCTTTTAGAAAGTTAACTGCAAAATGAGTAGTAGCATGAATCTCAGAAATTAATATATGTTCACCTTCTTGTTTAGTTCATATAATGCCTATTTGTGAGCTTAGCCTGGGGGGGGGGGGCTTGTGTGATATATGTAAATGTTGTGATATTTGAGTAATTGTCCGAGTGAAAGGTTGTGTGACCTATCTTTCTATTTGACATTGGTTTATCCGAGTTAGGGGCTTGAGTTGATTTTTAAACATCTTAAAATAAAAGAAACTCTTTCTAAGTGGTGAAAATTGAATTCAAATTATTTCTCCTCTATCTTTATCATTTAAAATGTATTTCATGACTTGTTGAGCTTGAGAACTTGATACTATTTGAAAAATCTTGATGAAACAATTATGCCTTGTGTTGTATGTGTCTTTTGCATTCATCCTCTCATTGTTTATGAAAATACGAGAAAGTGGAGGAATACTATCTTTTTGAGAAAAAAAAATGAAACTCCATATTTATATCCTTAACCACGAGTTAAGTGACAAGTTGATGAGATTATAAGAACTATATGTATGTGGACTGCAAGTCCAGCATGAGTCCTTTTTTGGAAGCTAAATGCTCGGCAAAGTGTATACGACATGTTGTGCGACGACCTTGATACCACCACATCATCCTGTCACTTTATGATCATCTCATTACATCACATTGACCAACTTTATTGTGTTGTGTAATTTGTTTATATGTCGATTTAAATGTTAATTCTACTATCATGTGTTTACATTATTCATGTTGTTTTATATAAATGAGCGACATCGATGTTGGAATGAGATCTTTCTGTGTGTAGGACTGAAAGCGCTTAATAGCTTATTTTGAAGTCTCTTTAGTTGCTTACATTCAGTCGGTCTGACTTACTGAGTACATCTGGATTGCGGCTGATCCTCGTTGCGGCTGGTTAGATCCATCATATTTCTTTCTTTCGCGGTTGTGTGTGATCTTAAATTAATTTGATTTACTTGTACTTCAAATATTTCTTTATTCCTATCAAAAATACAACTATCTAAGATGTTTCTTAAGAAAATAACAAAAAATATGATATGGTTAATGACATTAAAATATTCAACAAAAAAATAATAATGAAATCGCGTGAAACAAATATTGCAAATTAACAATGTCATAATGAAAATGACCATAATTTAAAAGTACTAAATCATGTAAGAATAAATTTAATAAGTATTAGTTACATGACTATATATTAAAGAAAATTAAAATTAAATTATGTATTTTAATTTTCTAAACCAATGTAAAACTAAAGAACAAATATTTAATATTATTGTCATTCTTAGTTTTAAATTAATTTTCTTTTTGGATTAGTATTAATTTGATTTTGATTTAAATTTTACTATTATTACCAACATCTGTTGACTATAATCTTTACTGAACCACTCAAAATTCTAGGTTTCAAATTTGAACTAATTTATTAAATGATAAAAACTATTAAAAAGTATAAGAAATATTTAAAAAATTATATTAAAATAAAATACTTTTATGTATAAATTTTAATTTATATACATAATATCGGATTAATTTGATCTCGAAATAATTTTTTTAGTTAAAACCACACCATTTAATTCAATTTTGATTCGATTTTACACTCTCCTACTCAAACGGCTAATCCTTTCGAAGACTAAAATCTGCTATTTGAAAATTACAAGTTTTACCTACATACTAGTGCTTAAACACAAATAATAAGATTAATCAAGTGTAACAACTTGGAACATCAACTTACAATTGTGGTCCATTTATATCTGCTTTGTAGTGAACCTGGACCCATAGAGTATTTATCTTAGGGAAATTTTCATAAATATCCATTTTAATAAATTTAATTATACTTCATAGATATAGTTTGAATATTTATGGGTTATATTTATAGTTTAAGCTACCTTGTTTTTATAATTTGTGAATGAATTTGTATAATTCGTGGATATGTTTATATAATTGAGCTATTTTTGTATAAGCTCGAAATACTGAATTTTTACAAACACAAACATATGAACTTTAAATAATAGATTATACAATTATACAATACAAAATTACATTATTTATAAAAGTTATACAAATTCTGAATTATACAAACTCGAAACTCCAATTCATGTAATTATCACTGAATGTTGATCATGAGTGTTAATTAACTAAGACTTGAGCAATAATCACTAATTAACTACTGGTATATATTTGCTTAATCAATTTGATTTTCCTTTTATCAATTATCAAAACATGGACCTTCTAGCACCCTTTAAATTTGTAACAAAATGTAATTTAACTTCTTTAGCACTAATGAACATGCCAGCCACATGGAAAGTATATCAAGATCAACAATTAGAAAACACTACTCTAACACATGTTGATTAATTTTTGGAAAAAATCAATTATTTGATATTTTGCTATTATTCCAAAGAAGAGTTAGTTATTTACACACAATTTTCACACCTTTGACTTCAAAATTGATTTAACTAGTACATTTTATTTATTATCAGAAAAAATCACATACTCAACACATGTTAATAAATAGAGATACAGAATTTGTTCAAGCTCAAACAGGTAAATGACAGATTAATAAAGATAATTGAACATGCTAATGCCATATAAATAGAACAAAATATGATGAAACCTACCAAAAACACCCTAAATGTTTGTTTCACAGAGGATGTTATTAACTTTTTTTTGGAGGATGTTACTACTTGCTAGCATTAAAATGAATGTATGATTAAAATTCTAACACTACATAGTTGATTTATATCACAATTTCGAGCCGTGGTGGATTCAGAATTTTTCACCAAGGAGATTCAAAAATAAAAATATAATGCTTAGGATTAAAACTTGGGATTCCAGGGTGAATGTTATATTTCCTTAACCACTAAGTCAACCTCCAGACTCTTGTGTTCAAATATTCATAATCCTAGGCACTATTATATACACACACACTACAATTTTTTTTAAAAAAATACCTAATAAATACAATATAATTTTTTTATCGAAAAAAGTTGAAATGAACTCTCGCACCCCTTCCTAGATCCGCCCCACTATGAGAAACAAGAAATTCAAGTGTAGAATTGGTTGATCAAACTACCACCTAAGTACAACCTTCCTGGTAAAACTTCTTACCCAAATGAGTATCTCAAAAGTATGTCAATTAGACATTTGTTGGAATACTCATTTGAGCAAGAGGCTTTCCCAAAGAAGTGAATGTAAATATGAGTCTCCCCCATGAGAAAGTAAAGGAATATTTATAGTCATTTTAATTACCTGCCAAAAACTCAGAGTTGGTTGTACCTGCCTTATTTGTTTGAGTTGTGGGATGTTAAGTATATATATAAATACTAAACATTGTAACATGTGACAATGGGGTTGTCAGGTAGAGTGTATTAAAAAAATAATACATCTATTAGCTTTGTGTATTACTATTATTTTATTTGATACTCTTTTTCAATCTATATATATAATATTAATCACTCTATCGTGCATTAAGGTATGTATTGCTAATATCATGGATTTCTAGGTATTAGCAGTGCAATATTTTTAATGCATGCATTAGCTCAATTAAAAATCTAATTGCCCCTCAATATTTTTTTTATATCTTTTCCATCATAATAATGAAGGAGATTTTTGTAAATAATTTTTTTAATACACCAAATTAAACAATGCATAAAAATAATTTATGTATAAATATATTACTAATACACTCTATTTTATATTATATTAATACACTCGACCAAACGATCTCTTATATTCAGCATTATTCTTATACACACGTAACTATCAACATTAATCACATTCCATTTAGGTGCATTGAAAAAACTCATTTGTTGGTCCTTGGTACTAGCTCTTTCCCAAAGAATAATGTCAATTAGATTACTACAACCCACCCACCATTCAAAACATTTTATTTTGTTGAATTTCTTGTAGTCTATTATTTCCTTCATCCTAACTATATAAGTGTATATTTATTGTCAAAGTTTATAATTTTGAATTGTTGGTGACTGTTTTTAATGAGTCAGGTATATACTCGTGATGAGCACTTGTCAGTCAGGATGAAAATGTTATATGAAGTGATAAAAAACTTTTTGGTATAGTTTAGTTCGCGGATAAAGTTATTTTGGGATTATAATTTTTAAATTATTTTATTATATTATTTTTTAAATAAATAGAATAATATTAAGTTTGATGAGATATTCAAAATTAAGCTTAAGTTAAATTTATACATTTTTTGAGTTGAAGGTATTTTCAATCAAATAAAATATAAATTTAATCTCATACTGAATCTTGAAATATTTGTGTATTTTTTATGTTTATAACAAGCTACATTAATTTAATTGTTTGTAAGACTGAGCGTTGTCTCGAGATCGATTGAGAATCATGATATATTTTAAGTTGAAATTTCAATAAACATTAAAAATATTAGGTAATTTCTTTTCATACGTCCTCAACTTGATAAACAGAATTAAAAAGAAATTATTGAGGTGAGAGTGTACATGTTTATTAACTATTGATAGGAATGATAGTGAATATCAAAGACATCATGTAATAGTAAATTGATTTGGCAGAAACAATGAATATGGATTATTATTTTTAATCCTAGCTATCATCAAGCATGCAAATTTGATTAATTTGTTCTTTTATAGAGCTTACTAGAAGTGTAGCACTAATGGGACCTTCTTTGTTCACTAGCTAATACTGAATGCATCTAAAAACCTTACCTACCTTCTTTTCTTGTCCTTTTTGGTGATTTTAACTTTAAGGAGTTATTTGATGTGATTGGGAGAAAATATTTTCTATTCGTTTTATTTTATATGAAGTAATTTAAATTGATATGAAATTATTAAGAGAATTTTTTTAAAAAAAAATTGTGATCAGAAATGAATGATAAAAAATTTGTGTGGCTACAAGTCATTTTATTAAAGATAAATTTGACATTTTATAGTTAAATTGTTGTTTAATATAAAATTATTCCTGATGTGATTGATAAAAGAAAATATTTCTGTCTCATTTTATGAGAAGTAGTTTGACCTGACACGAAATTTAGGAAAGAAAATAAGATTTTAAAATTTATGATCTAAAATGAATAATAGAAATTCATGTGATTATAAGCTATTTCATTAAAAATAAAATAGATACTTTAAAATTAAAACACTATTTAATAAAATAATATGTCATTTTTTATTAGACTGATTAAAAGAAAAGTAAGTCATTGAGACAAAAGGAGTAGGTATGAAATAATTGTTTTAGTGCTTCTTTATTTCTTTCTTTTTTTAAAAATCAAATCCATCTTTTGGGTGGAGGTTAGGCATGCCCTCTACCTCGTATATTATAATATTAATAATCAATAGCAAATACATGAATGACTTTGTTTTTTATTTGATTATTAAGTATGAAATAAGACATTTCAGAATTAATAAATAGTACTTAGATAAATAAAATGACAAAAATACCCTTTGGAACCTATTTTACTATCACTTCTCATTTTTTTGTGTCTTCTCTTCTTTGGATAAAATAATCAAAGAGTAATGTCATGATCCAATTTATGGATGACATTGTTCCAATTTTAATTTCAATCCCATAATTACAGGCATGAAATAAATCATAAGAAACAATTACAAATTATAAAGGTAGGAGTTGTTTATGTGTTTAAATAAAATGGGATGAGCGAGATTTAGATTATTTGGACATGTGATATAAAAATGCAGAGATTATATTCAAATAATAATTAAGAGGTGTGAAAGGTTGATTATGATGATTCTAAGAAAATATAGATGTAGGTGAAGAAGTATTAGATAGGGACAATTAAATAGCATATGATATACTTATAGCTTACCGAAGGCATACGTTCAGATCGGAGTATTCAGACAAGAGTAAAGTTAAAATGTTACTCGAAGGTCGAACATTATCTAGTTTTCTTATCAGAATTAGTATTATTACTCTCCTAATATATCCTATTTTTTTATTTTATTTTTATATTACTTCTTGTCTCCTAACATGGAGAAATGAAAATACCATATTTTTTTCAGTATTATTACTATTTGAATATTCTTTGACTCAATGTCATTGTTTGCAACAAATTTTAAACATATGAAAAATAAATAAATCATACAAATAAAATATGAAGAAATGTGATTTTATTCATTAAGATTGTGAGTACAAATTTGTTTCTCCCTTGATTCTACTCTCTAAGATGATTAAACCATGATTCGAGGGCCGTTTGTGGCGTATTTCTCGAACTAGGATGATTTAGATTTAACTTCTCTATATGAATAATCCATCAATTTGTGGAGTATTCGAGATCTTGATCTCTTTGTGGATTTTTCGAGATGCCTTTTAAGGGAATTTAGTACCCTTTATATAGGCATAAACTAGGGTTTAGGGTTGAGTAGCCTCCAAGAATCTTTATCTGAGGTGAACACAATTTGTAGAGTCTCAACTCGAATTGAACGCATCTTGTAGAGTCCCACAAAAATTTAAATGTCTACAGTCATGCATAACTATATTTTCTTCATTAATATATTTTCTTTTAAAAATTTATTTTGATATATTTTATTTGAGCCAAAATCAACGAGTCCGAAACATAAAGGGTACAATATATTAATAAAAATTTCAAAACGATATATAAAATTTTATATTAACCAAAACGGTAAAATCGCTGCAGATGCACCGACTTACCTCACCTGAAAAAGAAAAATCGCTGCCTCTGCAGCGATTTTAATTTATTTTTTTTTAAAAAAATAAGGTACATCGCTGCCTTGGCAGCGATTTATAAAATAATTTTTTTTAAAATCACTGCCACACAGGCGATTTAACATTTTGTAAAACAAAAAAAAATTATAAATCGCTGCCTTGGCAGCGACTTTATAAATAATTTTTTTTTATAAATCGCTGCCTAGGAAGCTATTTCAAAAAAAAATAATTAAAAAAAATGTTAAAGCAGCGATTTTATATATAAAAAAACTTATAATATTTTTAAAAAATTAAATATATAACTTATAAGAAAATCACATTATTTTAAAAAAATTAAAAATAAGTAAAGTAATAAATATATTTTAAATTTAAATAATATTTGAATTCAAATAAAATTTTAAATTCAAATAATTAAATTTTTTAAATAAAAATTAATATATATAT